ATACAAAACAAAAGGCCAGAATCGAATTTCTTCGAGTTCTAAAGAAATCTTCTCTGTTGAATTCGTGTAAAACGTTTCCACAACATATTATGCATTACAATAGCGCAGAGATCATTATCCGGGCATTGTGATACTGCACGCTGTGACGCAATTTGAGTCTGAATACATGACGTCAGCACGGTGGCTGTGACAAAGTCCAGTGCATGACATTTAATGTGTTCTAATAGCAGTGATGCAACAGTTAGTACTAGTTTGATTTTAATTTTTTTGTGGCATATAAAGTCCCAAATTATCGGTTTTAAAACGTATGTAATTACAGATCGATAACACTATGCAGCATCAAAAATGAACCTCGATGAATGCTATATTTTTGGATTCGTTACGAATTCCCAAGTTAAACGTTTTCCTAACGCAGAGAGAGCCTCTGAGAGCTCCGCAAAGTTGGCCAATTTCAGCATTTTTCGAACTTTGAGGTCCTTCTGCTAAGAATCCTTGCGTCGGGGAACTTTTTGGAAAACGCAGTTTAACTTGGGAATTCGTAACGAATCCAAAAATATAGCATCCATCGAGGTAAATTTAAAAAGCACTAAAAATGCTGCACAGTGTAATTATCGGCAAAAACCAAACAAATATTAATATATAATAGTATTATCTGAAGATATGTACTTATAAAAGTTTCGATTATCAACCGATAACTATCGATTAATAAATTATTGTACAACAATCGCTTATAAAATTAAATTGCGTTTATATTTAGTTACCCTTTTTAGACACTTTATAATGTACTCACCAACCAATTAAGGTCAAGTAGTACTTTTCAGGTCAACCGACTCTAGATTTTTTACTTTCGATTGTTTTTCGTGCATTGTCTTGGGTCACGAGTCCATCACCAGAACTATAGTAATAAACTATAGACCAGACTAGATCGTCTGATAGACACGCAGCGCCAACGGCGACTCAGCGGGAGCCTTTGCTGCAGTGCCACGTCTAATTAGCCCGAACCGTTTGGGCTTAGAAAGAAAAAAACGACCGACCGACCGACTAACTGACTGACCGACCCACAATACAGTATCGATTTCTGACGTCAATTGTTTAAAAATTGCGGTGCTGTGCATTGTCAATGCAATTAGACTGACTGGGCGATAGATCAAGATACAGCCAGAGATGGATAATGATAACTTGTAACTACTTGAGCATTGGTTATGGATACTTGGACAGACCCGTAAATGAATCGTTTCGGACAACTGTGATTCCAGCGCCATTGGGATCATGTAAGATATCAGGTAAAAAAGACCTCCGAAAGGCACGTGGCCAGAACACGCTTTTGTGTGCCAGAGATAAACAGCCTGAAGCCCGAAGTCTGAAACGAGGGATCGATATTTACCCATCCTATAGATGCCTTTCTGGTAACTTTTGTGCCTATGTTATGCAACCAACCATCATCGTTTTTTCCCCATAACCAATTGTCTGCTATTTCTTATCGCCTGATGTCTGGCTGTCGAGGAAAAGTAAATTATTTAACACTATTCTATAGGCTTGTTTTCTCACTTCGTCTTAGCTAAGAAACTCCCCACACTTGCACAAATACGAGAGCCCGCTCGATGTCGGTAAAACCCAACACAACCCGACCAGGCCAATGTGTTTATTATTTTATTTTTATCTTATCTGTCATGCTTTTTATGGTCTTGTTTATGAGTTCTGCATTTTGTTTTTCACTAAAGTCAAAGAATAAAGTCATCCAGCCAGGGGCTCGACAAAAGTCAAGCCTTTCGATCCGCATATCGGGCGAAATAAAGCTTCATAAATGTCATTAACTCATTAAGTTGTCTTAGCAAATCAACTTATCACCGTTATCTTGTTGTTTTTCACAACTTTTTCTTCGACCATTGAGAGTGGTTAGGAAATTTTGGGTGTTTATGATTTCCGAATTGCGAAGAATCGAAAGCTGCCTGGGGAAATGGGTTTTTATTGGGCTTTATAAATATTTTTAAAGAGAAATTACAAAAAACAAACGGGTTTTGACCTATTAAATTGTCAATAAATTCAGTCAAACCTTCATCGCGCATTATCATAAACAATAACCCATCAAGGTTTTGCTTACATCTCTTACCTTGACTAAAATCTACTCTAGCATTTGCAGCTGGCTGATAAGTTTATTATATTTTCCTCTGCGTTTATTGTTTTGCGCCAGTTCAAATCAATTATTAAATATTAGTATAACCTAAAAACCTTATCGCTAGACTCGGAATGAAAAGAAATACTTAATCATTGGCGCTAACATTTCTATTGTGTTTGTTTCTATTTGAAGAAAACTTGTTTTCATCACCGATTGGCAGTGATATGAAGAGGGAAGAGAGATTACCACAGAAATTGGAGCGTGTGAGTGGCTGTCAAGTATTCCCTATAGACTATATAGGCTAGAGATTGTACTTTATGGAGCTGGCGTCGATCGCCTGTTGTGGGACCTATCATCATTTAAATTTGCTTCCATATAAGGCGAGCAGAAAAATAAAACCAAGAAATGCGCAAAAGAACGAAAATCAGTGACGTCACTTGACTTGATTGATAAGTGATAAAGGGAAAATAAACAAAAAACGATTGTTTAAGGAAGCAAAACACTTCCGCCGTCTCATTTGTTATTTGATGTATGTACTTCGCATTTGTAAAACAGGAAAAGACTGTCGCAAAGAGACTGCTGCAAATAAATTACATTTTATTTTATTTGACGCGCCTTTGTTGGGCGCGTAGGCCACAAAAATGACTAAAAAATTCATCTCCTTCTTCTGACTCAGCTAATACGCCACAATCCGCAAAATCCGCAGTCCGTAATCCGCAATCTGTGTGCTCATGTCCACTACGTGACAACTGAACCGAACGGAATGAGTTTATATACTATGATACCATGATATGTATACGAAAGCAGATCAAGAAATGGGAAGTGTCCTAAATTATGAATGATATGCGACATCTGCCAGGGGTTAGAGAACTTTCGTGAATAAAATTGAGGCTACACCTGGTGGGAAATGTAATCGACCATCATGATATGAGTGTCTGAAATAGATCATGTGAGTAAAAATAAACTTGTTTCTAATAACAATAATCATTTGCAGACTTTCAAAGTGAAAAAGATATCAAAAGACGGAGATTTGTCTAGCAATGTGTCACAAAAAAAACCATACAAAGGCGGCCCCAAAGCCAATTTCATTTCGGTGGTGATTGAGTTGAGTAATTTCAATAATTATCTCAATGCAAACACAATCGCTGTATTCTTATATTTTTTCACATTTTTGACTTTATTTGCTCTTGAATTGGCAAACAATTTATGGCATATTTGAAGTGTGGCATTTGCTGGCGGTTGTGAGATAAGCAGAAAAAACAGTCTGCCATTTTGTAAACAAGACAAAAGCCTGATAAGCGCCGTTGGGAAGGGAGCTCATAAAAATATCAGCCCCAAAGTCTCGTATAAAATTTTATTTTATTTCTTTCCTCGCCAAGGTCAAAAGCAACAACAGAAATGAACGCAAAAAATTCTGAGGCAAACAAGAGTTAAAAAAGGGGGGTTGGTTTTACAATATGCACGAAAGAAATGTACACGCTTGGGGAAAATACTTTCACAAAGTGAAAAAAGAGGGAAAACATTTCTAGATGGATAGAAAGGAATTTAAAAAAGAAAAAGAAGAGAATCGAATCGAAATTAAATGCGTCGGCCCAAAGAAAGTGGGGAGAGCAATTCAATTGACCCAAATGACCATTATGGGTGGCAAGTTGCAACTGCAACAGAGGCGCAGGCACTGTCTCTCAATTGGATTTCGTGGAAAAGGAAAAGTTGATTGACTTTAAATGAGGCACAAATCGAACAACATGCAGCAGACAGTTGCCACAACGCAAAACGTGTCATCAAGTTCCGCTTGGAATTTTCTATTAACTCCGTTACTTGGTATAATAAAAATGCAATCGTGATGATATATTGAAAGAGCAAAATTAATTGGGTTTTCCCAAAGCATTTCAAAATTGCATGCGATTCATAGATGTATGGTTTTTTCTTTTTATTATCTATCTTTATTAGTTTATTAACAAATAAAAGGAAAAGGGGCTTGAAATTTTTTAAATTAAAGATTGCCTTATCGATTTCTAATAGCAAATAATTCAAACCTTTGTCCTATTAGGGTTAGCAACAAAAAAATGTTAGTTAAAATCATTGAAACTTTTATTTCGACTGATTGCGAAAGCGATTACAAGCTCGATTAGATTGCCTCACTTAAGAGCAATTCGATTGTTCTTTGTGTCGCGCCGTAAACCATGAATATCAATGCTTTTCCATTCATAACTCTCGATACAGTTCATTTCAGTTCATTGAAAAAGACTCAAAACCAATTGTCATCTTCTTGGGATTGTTCATTGTTTTGAGAGTCTTGTGTACTGTCTTTTAATTCTGTCTAAATATAGAATCCTCCATTGAAATGCATGCCAACTGAGTATGTACAAAGCAAATTCAATTCAATTGAACTAAATTTGTACTTCATGCCCGTCGTCCATAGCCGAGAATGAAGAAGGAGGGCCACTTGATTGAATTGTATCATTTTTTGTGAGCAAAGGCGCCCCACTCGAACATGTTTTTCGATGGGCTTTTCGTATTTCTTGTATCTATTTATGGATTCCTGAGACTTGAGACCTTGCCTAATCGAGATTAAGAATGGCCCATCAAGAGTTCGCATCATTTGTCTTAAAAAACAACGACTGTTTTCACGGTCAAAAGTTCAAAATCGCTCAAGATTCAGCCCATGAAGTCTTTTCGATTTTTTATTTTCGCGTGATAAGAATTTTTTATGACAATTATTGCGCCCATTATAAAGATTAACGATTTCATGTTATTTCGAAGTCTTATCAATTTGGCGCTCGCCATTTTTTCTGTCTGCTGTGATAAATTTATGAGTTGATGGTCGTATTTATATATACAATCCCGATAAAACAATTAAAAATTAAATTAAATTTGAACTTACCATTGCCTGTTCGATTTTGTTATCAATCGCAACTGCACTTGTTCCAGATGCACTGAAATAAACGAGTAAATAGTTAGAGTGTTAAAAAATGAAATCATATTTCTATTTTACTTAATCTAAAAGAGCTTAGCCTTCTTCAACAGTTTAATTGCCCCATCATCATCTAACCAGTCTCATCCAAAGTCTCAATTAAAAACAAATCAAATACCTATTTTTTAGTTGCCATTTTGAATGCCTAAAAACTTTTGCTGAAGACCTTCGAATGGAAGTTATTTTTGGCGATCCGACCTTGCTGATGACAGCCGCAAATTGAGGTCAGTCTGACAATAAAACTTCCTCGACTTCGCAAAAAAAACTCCGAATAAAACGCAAATCTCCCCATCTAATTGCAATGCCAAATGAGCAATTAAATTGTCATAAGACCAAAGTGAAAGATGAATGGTATGAAAAGTGTTCAGACTTTTTGATTGAATTTAAATCCGATATAATGAATTTTATGCAACCAAATCGGGTTTTCCCTGTTCAATCAACAACAGTTTGGCATATTTCTTTAATTGTTGAGTGCAAGCAAAAGTGCAAATTATTGCATTGCTCATTCGATCGCTTGACAAACAATTATGTAACTCTTAGGAAAACTAGAAAAAGCACAGCAAACTGCATAGTTCAATTCACCTTTTATAAAAATTACCTTTAATAAAAATCAAGAACAATACATTTAGTTTTATACACTTTTATTCTTACAATTTTGTTTTCTAATTTCTTTATCATGATTTTGAGCTTAAACAAGAATCTTAAAAGTTGGTTTTGGTGTAGGTAATACGCCTTTTAAACATGAATTTCCAATAGGCCATTCAAATTGTCTTTCCATTTTACTTAATGTAAACTGTAAAAGCTTTTTATTTGGGTTCATGTCTTTATTGTGCTTATATATTTTTTTTTTTCTATATCTTATTCATTTTATCAAACGAAATGGATTCGATTTGTGGTTCAAAAATATTTGCTATACGCAATAATGTCTAATTATAGAAATGGCCTGATAATATGCAGTGGTGTGTCATCAAATTAGATGGCCATAAGATAGTTACACATAAGTGAAATAATCGAGTCATGACTCATTTAGAGGGTTGAGGTTTTGAGGTTGCCCACAACTTAAATGGCTTTTAGTAATGTAATTAAGTCATGCTGAAAACGGAAATTGACTTAGTTTCTCTTTTACATAATTTAGATTCAAAGCTGTTGAATTGTATTCTATAAAGAAATATAAATCAACAAAAATTAAAATAAAGAGAAGAACATGAAATGTGATAACAAAAACAACTTTCCTGTTTATATAAATTTTTCCATTTTTAAAAAGATTATTTTTTTGACTTCATTTTATCAACAAAGTAAGTAAAAAACCCACAATAATAAAGAAGACATCTTTATGATTAACACATTGCGTTGTTGATTCTTTTGCTGAAATGCCTTCCATTTAAATGCAATGGAATAATATCAATTCGGATGGATGTACGGGATGGATTTGCGGCGTGCAAAATAATTAAAGTCAGTGGAAGTCGGCTGGACAATAAAAAACGAGAGGAGGGGCAACCGCAGAACAGAATTACGAGAGTTTCGTTTTCGGAATCGGAAACAGAAACAGAAGGGGAAAACTTGTGATTTACCCCCTGAGTCAGCCGACAAGGACGAATGGCGGAAAGTTTCTTAACCTGTGAGAGAGAGAAGTCGGAGGAGTCAAGGGAACTTAGTTTACGACTTTCTATATCATCTCGCCTTGCCTGGGAAAAACAAGGCGGGAAAAAGTAAAAGTCTCGCCTTTGCATCCAGACGACGACGACCGAGTGCAATGACTCAACTCATGCCGTGACTTTTGTTCTCTTTCTTTGGGCTATGGGCACAAACAAAAGCCAGAAAAATAAAATAAAATAAAACAACATTTATTCGCCAATGTCATTTCGGACACCGGTCAATGGCGTCTTTATTGCTGTAGTTGTTGTTGCTGGGCTGGAAACGCGGAGTTTTTGGGGCGAAAATTCGCTTTTCGCATGGCCATTAATTTTAATTCATTCGATAATAAAATGGGAGAGCAATTTGAACAAATAACACACTTAATTATATTGAGGTGAATGGGAGTATAAGGTATAAATAGGATTCGGTTCGGTTGGGGAATTATAAAGTACTCATATAAATGAAATTGAGTGGCAACATTGAAGTGCTTATTAGCCAAATGTATTACTTTAAAATTTAAGTTTGTTTTTTTTTATAACAAAACATTTATTATTTTTAATTTTAAATAATAACTTTCAAACTATTAAAGGTGAAAATATAAATCCCGATGCTAATTTTGTAGTTTTGAAATACTCTGTAAAAATTAAAACAATCATGCACAGCTGGTGGCAGCATCATCATCATTAAAATAACGATTGTTGTTTTGGTTCGTTATCATCTCTCCGGGCGTTATCAGCATGAAGTCATAAAAATAATATTAGACCTGTCTAAAGCATGGGAGCACAGACAAACAAAAAAAATAAAGAGCAAGCGTAAGCACAAAAAAAAGGGAGAAGTATTCGACTGAGAGTGGGAAATAACACACAAAATCACGCGACGGACGAAGAATTAAAGCCACACATTATATGTACTTTATTTTCATTATACAAAAGCACCGAAAAAACGAACTACAAGAAATAAGCGGAGGGAGAAAAGTGCAAAGTTTATTAAGGTTCAAACGCCGCCATCGAGCGCTCGTAAAAATATCAGTGATGTCATTTATTTATTTACTTTTTCACTTCTGCTTTTTGTGCTAATTTAAAGATTATTTATTTATTTGGCATTCGGCATCTTGAGTGTGGTTTATGTTAAGCTTTAGTTTGGGCTTAAATTTACCCGGTCACGTGATCAGATGTTGTATATTACCTAAAGAGGAAAATATGTCAGTGACAAAAAAAATACTAAAATCAAAATAATGCAAAATAGACGAAAAATAAATGAATAAGGAAGGTACAACTTTTTTTTACCAGCACCTAAACATATCGAGCTTGCCGAAAGCTTTGAAATAAAATGAAGAATGGTTAAGTTAATGAAATGTGTTTTTTAAGTCCAATAACATTTGTATTTTAATTTAGGCTTATCGATTAGTTGGTTTCTTTCTATTTTGCAGTTAGCGCCCCTGACTGGCAATTGAGAAAGTCGAATGGCGTGCCGCCAATGAGTCGTTTCGAATCCAATCGAATCAATCTGAATAAGCGCATTATCTGTGAATGAGACTCTGGCCAAGTGCCAGGTTAATCCCTTGATGAATGTCGCTGCTCTTTGGCATTTTCTCCCCGTCTATTTTCATTCAAAATATCAAGATTCGACAACAACTTTTTGTGGGACTCACACGACTCGAAACTGTTTTGCGCATTTCCGAAATTTTAAACTTGCGGATGCCGACTCTGCGATTCTCCCTAAAAAAAAATACAAATTGCTCGCCCAGCAAATGCCTTCCGCTGACTCCGCAAAATTGAAGAATGCATAGTAAAAACAGATATCGAAATTGTTGTCAGGCAGGCGGCAATGCTGATGTAAGCAAAAAGAGAACTTGGCATACATATTCATGCCATCTTCGCTATTCCCAATCCGTCGAATGATTTCCCGTCACTCTGGCATGGCATTTTGTGAAGTGTTTATTTGCATTTGAGGGTCTCAAGAGCCGGGAACGATGACACCGAGTTTACGACTCCAGGAAGTTGGCGAACGAAAACAAAACACATCGTAAAAATTGTTCAGCAAAATAGGAACAATAAACGATCGGAAAACGGGAAGTGAATTTAAAGCAAAGTTTTAAACGCAAAAGCAGCAATTAGAGTACAAGGTGTATATTATTTCATAATCTTTTGAATATATTTGATGTGATCTGATATATCTGATAGGTACCAAATATTGATTATTGAAATTAAATTTAAAGTTAAAAATATAATTTCCTAATATAAATAACAAAAAATAATTTTGTCAAAAAGCAAACCAAACGCAACAATAGCGTCCACTATAAAAATAAAATCATAAAAATATCCAGTCTAAATAATAAGAGAGGAATGTAAGAAAAGGAATAAATTGCCCCTGACCCAAATAAAACTGAAATGAAATATGTGTCTATATATAGAAACGGCAAAAAGGGTTCAAAAGAAATAAACAGGCGGAATAAAAACTGCCGAGGAGAGTTGAAAAGTAAACTGGTGTGGTCCAAGACCAAGACCGGTTCATTTTTAGCGCCTTATTGTATTATTTCCTGGATTTTCCCCGCCCATGCTAACGCAGCTTTGCAACAAGTTGCCTAACTGGACGTAACGGACAAAAACAAAATGAGGTCAGCGCAAAAAATAGTATTTTATCCAACTAACGATGCGTTGGCCCGTTTTCCCGATGATGTAAGGCTCCCCATAGACAGGAAGCGGCCACACTAACCTGTCTTTTACATATAATTTGATTATTCGGTACGGACGGTATGAAGTAGATTTGTCATGAGATCTACCAATCAAAATCATTCCGCGGATTAATGTCTTAAATGTCAAATTAAAAATTTAAGAAATCCATTTAAATTTAAGCCCCTTATCCCAGTAAAACAAAAATATATCTACCAAATCAACCATTTATAATAACTTATACAACACAAACTCAATTTACCAATATAATTAGAGCGAATGGCGCCCGCCGACTTATCCAACCGATAAATATTTTTGTATGCTTATAAAATCAACACAACAGACCATCGATATTTATTCTCGCCATCTACAACTTAGCACCTTGAAGTAAATTTGCCATCGGATGTGCCTTACTTAGATATCTGATAGAAGATCAAAAACCCAGCTGCGTTGCCATGCACGGGATATAATATAGGACCCATTATGGATCATCATGATGTCTGGGTTCCGCTAATTGGTTTCCTAAGCGTAGAATCACATCACCAATGTGTCGGAAGTATATATTTTTGCCCTCTATTTATAGCCACCTGCTCAATTGTCGTTTGCTCAGTTGTCTGAAGTTTTGTTTATTTTTTTTTCTACTAGTTCACACAAA